CTATTTTGTCTGCAGCACCTGGGACCAGGAGTAGCATAAATAGTTGCGAGGACAGGAAATGAGAAGTGCACAGGTCTGACTATTATTCCTTGTATTTACCGTCTCCTGCTGCCTCTTCTCATCAAGTCAGCAACATCCACACGAGGACAGGGGTACACCTGTCGTGCTCACTGCTGGGAGTCCATGTTCAGTTCCTGTGTAACAACTGAACTTCATTTCTTTTGAGGGTTCTTAGAGCCAAGGGAAATGGGGTCCTATAGAAGAGTCCAACACTAACTTCCATCTTCATATTTCTTGACACAGGAGGGAGATGACAAAATTGAGTACCGAGCCTGGAACCCCTTCCGCTCCAAGCTGGCAGCAGCAATCCTGGGTGGTGTGGACCAGATCCACATAAAGCCAGGGGCCAAAGTGCTCTACCTCGGAGCAGCTTCAGGCACCACCGTCTCTCATGTGTCAGACATCGTAGGTCAGGTGAGTAGACAGGTAGAGAGGTGGATGAAGGGAAAGGCCACCTCCTCTGTCACCCTGAAGTGGTCCTAGCTGCTTCCCTACCGTATGTGATGTTGGGCCATCTCCTTCCGACACAGTACCTGTGAGTCAGCAGAGCAGCCTGAAGTAGATGCTCATTCAGCTGCACTCCTGGGTTCTTGGCCTTGAGGAAGGTGGTATGGGCATGGAAAGACCAGCATTTGTGTGGGATCCAGAGCTGGGAGTATAGATACCAAACTATTTGGATTTGTTGCCTTCTTTAAAAATTCATGTCCTCTGCCAGGTGTGATGGCTCGCACCTATAATCCTGTTACTCAGGTGTTGAGGTAGGAGGATTGCAAGTCCAAGGACAATCTTTTCAAGTTTGAGGACAGCCTGGGCAACTCAGCAAGACCCTGTCTCAAAATAAAAAAATGAAAATGGCTGGAGATAATAGCTCAGTAATAAAATTCCTTTGGGATTAATCCCCGTAAAGGAGTGGGGAATGGGGATTTATGTACCCAAAATCTGATCATCTATTTTCTCTTGAAAGAACCAGTAGTTCTCATAGTCTCCAGTCTGCATTTCTTGTGTGTACTGGTTTCCCACAGAGGGCACCTGGCATGTGTGTATCTCATTTCATGACTTCTTGTTCACTTATGATTATAGGCATGTTAAAAACCCTAGACTCTTGGGTATTTAATGATGAAGTGGCTTTCAGCAAGTTACCTAACCTCTCTGAGCCTCAGTTTAATACTCTGGAGAATGAGGTTGTTGTGACAGTTAAATAAGTTAATTCCTATAAGGGCCTGATCCATTTCAAATACTCTTAGCTCTGGTTATTTCATCTCTGTGCTTTGGTTGCCTATTTTTGGGGAGCCTGGGCTCTCAGATCAGGCAAACTAGGATTGTGTAGCTTTGCTGATAACTGAGTGACCCTTGGCCAGTGACTTCAAACCTCAGTTTATTCACCTGTAATATGAGTATGATAAAAACAGTATTTAAATAGTTGGATTTTGTTGGGAGTCTGAAGTGATGTGCAGTGGATGAACCCAAAGTAGTCATTCCCTAGATGAGGACCAGTGTTGTTGCTGATTATTATTGGATTTATCTTAGGATGGACTGGTCTATGCAGTTGAGTTCTCTCACCGATCTGGCCGTGACCTCATTAACTTGGCCAAGAAGAGGACCAACATTATTCCTGTGATYGAAGATGCTCGGCATCCACACAAATACCGCATGCTCATTGGTGAGAGTGGGTCCATGGGGTGGTCCAAGGCAGGCAAGGCATGCCAAACCAGGTTTCCTGGAAGATTCAGACGGGGTCAGATTGGAAGAGCAATGGATGGGAATGGAAAAATGGGGAGGGGAACCAGGAGAGGTGGTGAAGGTCATGACCCTGCTTCAGGGGTTCAGATATCTGGTGCCATGGAAGAAGCAGACTTGTCTCCTCCCTTCTTAATCTTTACAGTGTTCCTAAACAAAAGAAGCCACTTTCCGGGGTCCTTATTGTCTGGTGAGATCCTAGCCCAGAAAGCACAAGCTGTGTGTGGCCTGGACCAGAGGGGCCTATTGAATATTTTTTTTAATTTCTTTTTTGTTTTAATTAGTTATAATGACAGTAGAATGCTTTTATGCACTTTGATATACATACATGGGATATAATTTCTCATTTTTCTGAATGTACATGTTGCAGAATCATTGGTCATACAGACAAATATATACATACAGTAATAATGTCTGTTTCATTCTACTGTCTTTCCTCTCCCCACATGGCCCTATTGAATATTAATAACTATTTTTTAAAAATATAGTATAAAAATGGAAAGTCTTTTAAATCTCCCCAGAGGTAACTGATAAGAACATTTGCTATCTGCTTTTCCCAGTTTTCAAAGAATCAGTTTTCACTAAACTACCTTTTCATTTTTTTAAAGTCACATTGCCTTAAAAATATTTTCATTCCATTCATTTTTCTTTCTGTGCATTTTTTCCCCACACACAGTCATTTCCTTCCCCTTGTCCTGTAGTTTTTTCACAGGCCTGTTCCCACTCTTGCCTTTAAACTACTCAGCTTTACTTGTCTTTCTCATGATGTGTCTGTTTTCTTCCTCAAGACCTCAGTGCACCTCAAGGACAGGGTCCAGGTCTGACTCCTCTCTGTGTCCCCCATACCCAGCCCAGTTGGCCACAAGAGTAGATGGCATCCAATTAAGAGGATTGGATAAGTGGTGTGACTGTCAGTTTTGGACCCATCTCAGGGTACTGTGGAGGGAAGGGGGATCATTTGGAGAGAGTGAGACTGGAAGTAGGGAGACTCTTCCAGGAAACTGCTGGTAATGGAGCACAGGCCCCACAGGAGGATCTGGAACGATCTAGCATGTATCCAACTTCTTTAACAGTATCGTCCTTTCTCCTTAGCAATGGTAGATGTGATCTTTGCGGACGTGGCCCAGCCAGACCAGACCCGGATCGTGGCCCTAAATGCCCACACTTTCCTGCGCAATGGAGGACACTTTGTAATTTCCATTAAGGTGCGGGGCTTGAAATCTAAAACTGAGTGGCAACATCCTGGGGGGTATCTTTTGGGTAAAAGAGGCAAGAGAGTGGCAGTCATGTGCATGATGACCATCTTAGTTTGAATTCCAATTGAGTAAGTTATTTAATCATTGTCAGTTTCTTTTTCTTGCAACATAGAAATACCTGTCTTCTTAAGAGTTGATGTAAGGATTAAATTAATCGATGTATGTGAAGTGTTTAAACAGATCCTGACATGGATTGGGAAATGCCCATTCTGAGTGCATTTCTCAGAATGTTTTGAGATAAAAACTCCGCCTTGTGCCTTTCACCAGGTTCACCATTTGTTAGCCTTTTGTGACCTTGGTTTTATTGTTCCCAGCTTCATACTAATATTACTAAGATGAAGTAGGTGAGGGAAAAAAAAAAAAAGCTGGGTTTAAAATTTAAACACTGACTTTTAGATAAATAGGACATCCTGCTTCAGAGAACCATATTTAAAACTTATTCTAATTAAGTCTTTGACCACATTTGCAAGCCTGGGTTTCACTTGATGAAGACATACTTCTGGTTTAAAAAGCATGAAAAAAGGGAAAAAGCCCACTGCCTTGCTGCAGACCACAAATCCTTCCTCCTCTGTAGGCCAACTGCATTGACTCCACAGCCTCAGCTGAGGCCGTGTTTGCCTCTGAAGTGAAGAAGATGCAGCAGGAGAACATGAAGCCCCAGGAACAGTTGACCCTAGAGCCCTATGAAAGAGACCATGCTGTGGTTGTGGGTGTGTACAGGTGAGCAGGGGCCCAGTAATCCACCGGGACAGAGACCTCCCTTCCAGGCACCAGCAGTGCCATGGTTCTGGGGACCCCCAAAATGATGACAAGCTGTGACACCATCTCCCCATCCCCAATCTCCTATCTTCTGCACACAGGCCACCTCCCAAGGTGAAGAACTGAAGCTCAAAGCTGTCTGGATTTCAAGAGATGTGTGTTGCTACTGTTGAATGTTGATTTTTTTCTATTAAAAGACTGATCCAGTCGCTCCCTGCAGCTGATTGTTCTGTAATTGCTGTTGTCTGTAGACAACAGGATCCATGTGCCCTCAGTCAACTTTGCTTGGTGGGGGTTGGAATTGCATCCTGTCACAGCCCTTGCTCTTCTTGCAGCAGATTCTTGTGCAGCCATCCTAACCCAGATCCCGGTTATTGGCGGCTCACTGCGCATGTGTGCCAGTAAGCGCCGCAGAGCGCAGGCGTAGAATGTTACCCTATGTCACGTGAGGGGAGTGGATGAGATGGGGCGGAGCCTGAGGCCGGAGGGGGGGTCGGTTTGTTGTGGTCGCCATTTTGCTGGTTGCATTACTGGGTAATCGGGGCCCTGGCTTGCTGCGTCCGCCGGATACCCTCAGCCAGTGGGCAGGTCTGAGCTCGGGCTCCCCGAGCAGTTTGAGTCCCCTTACCCGCGCCCTCAGGTAACGACGCGGCAACGGGCGGGGCGGCACGCGCTTGCGGGAAGGAGGGCAGGGCGGGATCCGCCCTGCCTGCGTCGCCGCGAGACTTAGCACGAGGCCGAGGGAGAAGAGGAGGGGGGCATCGGGCAGGTGCGAGCCGTGCCTAGCTATTCATAGTCGGATTCCTGGAAGGGGCCGAGCCCGAGGGAGCCTTCTTGAGAGGGAGGCTGGGAGGGGGCTGCTGGGCCCCACTCCCGCCCTTTGTTTGGGCTCGGCTCCGCCGGCCGCTTCGTCGTCGCCTAGCAACAGCTGCCCTGGTCTGTGATTGGCTCAGCTCTTGGCAGCGACGACCAATGGCACGGTTGTTGCCATGGGAGGTGCGGATTGCCAAACTCTGGCCCCGCCCGCCGGGTCTCAGCGGGCCGGGGCGGGCCTCCTGGGTGGAGGGCGGGACACCAGGGTCCCGGGGGCAGGTGGCCGCGGGGCGGGGCGGGGCGGGGCCGGTGGGGCGAGGGTTAACCCTCCCCTCCCCCGTCCACCTGCTCTCCCCTTCCCCCGCGTGCCCCGGGCTGACCCTCGTCCCCTCCTCTCCCCGCCCGCGGCGGCGGCTGTTGTCACCCACGGGGCAGCCTGTCCCGCTTGCCCTCACCGCCGCGGGGCTTGCAGGGCCGGCCSGGCCGGGGACAGGCGGCCACCTTCTCACCGCTGCTATCACCACCGCCATGCTGGCCGCTCGCCCACCCCACTGGGGGCCCCAGCGCGCCCCAGCCCCCCGTGGGCCCCGCGCCAGCCCTGACCCGGGTAGGGGGTGGGGGCTGGGAGATTTGGTCCTAGTGTGGGGGGGCCCCTGGGAAGAGGTTGTTTGTGGTGCAAGCTCCAAGAGAGGAAGGGGTCCTGGAGTGGCAAGGCATGGGACAGATAGGATTTGGTATGAAGAGAGTTCCGTAGGAAGAGGATTTTGTCRTGGCAGACACTGGGAAGAGAGAATCCTATGTGATATTTGGGGATTTGGCTATAGGGCCCTTCTAGGAATAGACACCGTTGTAGAATGACCTGGTGTGGAGGGGTGACTGGAGAAAGAGCTCTGGTAGGCATATTGGGTAATTGAGTGGGGGCAAAGATCCAGTATAGGGGAGAAAAGGATAATAGTTTCAAACTGCAGGAAAACACGCCTCCCCCATAAGCCCGTGAGGTGGAGGAGTTGGCCTTGTCTGGGAGGGGGTCTTAAAGTAATATGGGGTAGATCTCTTGTGGGGCCCAGAAAAACTAAAATATGGCATAGAGAGACTTCCTGGAGGGATGGTTCCTGGTTTGGGAGGACCTAATATAGGGAAAAGGTCTTGGCATGATATGGAGAGGGTGCCCTGGGAAAGGAATACCCTGGTAGTTGAAGACTCTGTCATAGGGTTTCTCAGACCTCCATGTGGCCTGGAGGTCCCTGAGGATCCTGATATGGTTTTAGGGGCCTGCAGAGGACTCTTGCTGTGGCTTGGGGGGATCCTACTGGGAAGGGTCTACTTAAAGTGGAGGGTCCTTACTGTGGCACTGGAGCATCCTGGTGTTCAGGAAAGACTATTTGAGGGTGAAGTCTTGTATGTGGGGCCCTGGGGAGAGCCATGAGTAGAAAAGGGAAGAAAGAAAGAGTTCTCCCCAGAGTGCCCCTGGTTTCTGCCTTCTCTTTTCCTCCCCCAATTACTGGTGTCTTTCTGTCCTCCTTTCCTGTCACTGTCCATATCCACCTCCTCCCACATTGTCCGGCTCCCAATCATCCCTTTTATGTATTCTTTTCTTTGTGCTGCCTCATTTACTTATTTTATTATCATTTGCTGTGGGACTCTGCTGTGCCACCCTCTCCCACTCACGTGCTCTCTGTCCCCTCTGTACTGCTACCTGTTGCGCTATTGCACTCTTTTTCTCCCTTCCTCGTGCCCTGCCTTCTCTCTTGTGCCCACCTCTTCCCTGCCTGGCACTGTCCCACATATCCCCACGGTCCATGTTGTTTTCCCACCTCCGCCTGCTCTCAGGTCTCAGCGGCGGTGGCAGCCGAGGTGCAGGATGCGAGAAGGCGCCCCCCGGCCGGGCTCCCGCTCCAGGCCTCGCACCCCTGCGGCCCTCTGAGCCCACCATGGCCGTCCCACCAGGCCATGGTCCCTTCTCTGGCTTCCCGGGGCCCCAGGAGCACACACAGGTAGGCATTCAGCTGGCTCCTCATCTGCCAGGAGGTAGAGGGAAGCTGGGAATAGAAGGGTCTGAGGGTCAAAAGATGATGCCATTGTGCAGGATAGTCTCCAGGGGACATTGTGAGACCCATGGAAGTAGAATAGTTTCAGGCAATTACTTTGGGGAGCTTGAGTTCAAATCCTGACATGTTGGCTGCATTAGGTCCCCCACACGTCAGCTTTCTGTTAAGTAAAATTGAGCCAATGACAATGCCTCCCTGGCGGGGTTATTGCTAGGGTTAAACAAGCTAACACAACACACAGGGAAGGTGCTAAGGACAGTGCCAGGCACACAGCAGACAGAAAGTGAGAAAAGAAAGTCCAGAGTAAAAGACCTGGAGGGGTCAGTGGGGAAAGGGGCTGAGCCTGAAGGGTCTGGGACTACATACAGGGCCAGAGTGATGTGCAGATTTCCAGAGGCAGTAGATAAGGCTCCAAGATGTAGAACTGGAAGCAAGGGTGGAGCAGGAGGTCCAGGGGGCCAGGTCCCGATCCAAGGACCTTGCAGTGAAGGAAGCAGGCGGAGATGCTCCCTGGGAATGAGGGTTGGCATATGTGCTGCCAAAGCAAGCAMGTGGGGTGAGGGTTGGGAAGGCCCCAGGGGTTGACAGTGAATGGATTTGGGAGGACTTCAGAGGCAGGAATCCTTGAAGAGATGATCTCAGGTGGAATGTTTGAGGGGCAGAGCCCAGGTATTCTGTATGATCTCTCCCACTGAGGTTCAGAAAAGAGTGAAAGAACTGACCCAGGGTCTGGGGGAAAGGTCAGGGGTAAACCATTCACTCCTTTATTCACAGGACAGATTTCTAGCCAACATTCATCATGTGCTGGTCCCTGCTCAAGGCACTGGAGAGTCAGCAAGGACAAGACAAGTTTATATTCTAGTGGGGGAGCTAGACAAGGACCAGTTAAATATGTGTGTGACCATGATGAGCCAGCCGCCCCTTTAGTTCTTCTCTCCAGGAGTTCTAAGGCCAAGGCCTGTCCTCACTGTCCTCTCCTCACGCTGCCCCACAGGTACTGCCTGATGTGCGGCTACTGCCTCGGAGGCTGCCCCTGGCCTTCCGGGACGCAACCTCAGCCCCGCTGCGCAAGCTCTCTGTGGACCTCATCAAGACCTACAAGCACATTAATGAGGTGGGCAGGTGCTGGACGTTCCTGGGCTGAGTGCTGCGGGGTCTCGGCTGTTTGAGGCTCACAGTTCCCTTTTTCTGGCTGGCTGGGCAGGTGTACTATGCCAAGAAGAAGCGGCGGGCCCAGCAGGCGCCACCCCAGGACTCAAGCACCAAGAAGGAGAAGAAGGTCTTGAACCATGGTTATGACGATGACAACCATGACTATATTGTGCGCAGTGGCGAGCGCTGGCTGGAACGCTACGAGATTGACTCTCTCATTGGCAAAGGCTCCTTTGGCCAGGTACAAGACAAGCCCCATGCTGTCCAGGGATTGGGGGGCTCAGGCACCCACTGACATTGACCCAGACATCCAGTACTTCAAGTCCTGTGCTGGGTCACTCACTCCTGTCCAGTCACTAGGTTTCAATGTTCCCCCGTTTACTTTTTTGTAAAAATACAAATAATAAGACTCCACAGAAGATAGTTTATGTCCATGTTCATATCACTGCTCAGCTGATGGTGAGCACTCAGTTTTGAAGTAGTAGTAGTAATCCTGTGATTGCTGGGTCTTCTGGCTGGAAGGGAAGAGCAATGCCTGGCTCTGTCCCACCCCCGCCTCACTTGGTCACATGCCCTGCCTGACAGGTGGTGAAAGCTTATGATCATCAGACTCAGGAGCTGGTGGCCATCAAGATCATCAAGAACAAAAAGGCCTTCCTGAACCAGGCCCAGATTGAACTTCGACTGTTGGAGCTGATGAACCAGCATGACACAGAGATGAAGTACTACATAGGTGAGGCCTGGGACTGGCTGGGCCATGGGTACCTCGCAGAGGGCGCACTCTGGGATAGGGAGGGGTTACCTGCCCCCCACACACACACAGGAGGTTACCTGCTGGTTTTAGGGCAGCACCTGGTCTGTACCTCTCAGCCTTATGGAGTCTCCTGTTGCTTTTATAACTTTTGCCCGTTCACTTGATAACCGTGGTCAGGGTTTATCGAGTACTCATTAAGGGCCAGGCTTTGTGATAAGCACTTTACATAAATGACCTCACCACAGTCCCATGAGGGACAGGGCACTATTGCCCACATGTTGGAGATAAGGAACCCAGGCATTCCATGTTGTCACTTGCATGAGGTGACAGCTTGTATTCAGCAGAGCTATATTTTGATAAGGCTCCAGAGCCTTGACTGTCAACATCTATGCCAGTCTTTGTTTTTTCTTTTTTTTTCTTTTCTGCCACTGATTCCTCTTAGAATTAGCAAGGGGATTGACTGTTTCTCTTGAAAGGAAAATTTACAGTCTTCCTACAAAAGGAAAACCAGTGTTTCTTGCCACAAAAATAGATATAACTACGATGAAAACAATGCTATCTATAAAATCAAATGAGGAAGTGTAGAATTATGTTAGGAACTAACAGAAACCTTTTATTTGGTTTAATCAGAAGGTTGACAGAAACTTGAAAAGAGAACTTCCTGTGTGACTCAAGTTATACACCATATAGAAACATCTTGACTGATGGGAGGTGTCCATGGGCACCCAACAATTTAGCCAGTGCTTAGGAAGCTGAGGTACTCATTGCTGTGTGACCCTGGTCTACCTTTGGCCCTCTCTGAACCTGTGTCTTCTCTGTTACTGCCTCTTTCACCTCCCCCACAGTCCACCTGAAGCGGCACTTCATGTTCCGCAACCACCTGTGCCTGGTGTTCGAGCTGCTGTCCTACAACCTGTACGACCTCCTGCGCAACACACACTTCCGAGGCGTCTCACTGAATCTGACCCGGAAACTAGCGCAGCAGCTCTGCACGGCGCTGCTCTTCCTGGCTACGCCGGAGCTCAGCATCATTCACTGCGACCTCAAGCCAGAGAACATCCTACTCTGCAACCCCAAGCGCAGTGCTATCAAGATTGTGGACTTCGGCAGCTCCTGCCAGCTTGGCCAGCGGGTGCGGCTCAAACCGTCCAGGGGCGGGGCTAGCAGGGTGGGTGGGGCCGGTGGGGCGGGGCTAGCCCAGGACTGCAGAGACTACACCTGAGGGATTGCGCTGGAGGTGGGGATTTCAGCTGGTGCTGTCCTAGCGGGCCCCTGCTGGCTGGAAGAAGAAGAGAGTCCACAGATACACTGTCCACTAGGAGGGGAAAGGGTCATTTCTCATGTAGCCAGAGGCAGCCAGTGAAGTTGGTTGGTTTGGAACCTGGGGTGTTGCTTTGCAAATCGTTTACTTAATCGGGATGGAAGGGCCCTTCACTAAGGTTACTTAAGAATCGAGCACCATGTCATACCCCTGTAATCCTAGTAACACAGTAGACTGAGGCAGGAGGATCACAAGTTCAGGGCCAGCTACAGCAATTTAGTGAGGCCCTAAACAACTTAGCAGACCCTGTCTCAAAAAATAGAAAGGGCTGGGGATGTGGCTCCAGTACCCTAACTTAGGGCTTTGGGGACTGCCAGCCTCTGATCACCAAGAAGGGGCAAGGACTTGGGATAGAGAGAGGGTTAAATCAGGTGAGCAGAGATTGTGGTTTCTGGAAAGTGGTTGCCAAGAATGTCAGGATTTGAAGCCTCCGTTCCCAGTTGGGTCCTCTTAGCTTTGTGGGTGCCAGTGGCATCAGTAAGGGAGGCTGGGACTCCTGACTATTTCCCTCCCCCAGATCTACCAGTATATCCAGAGCCGCTTCTACCGCTCACCAGAGGTACTCCTGGGCACGCCCTACGACCTGGCCATTGACATGTGGTCCCTGGGCTGCATCCTTGTGGAGATGCACACGGGAGAACCCCTCTTCAGCGGCTCCAATGAGGTGCGCCCCCGCCCCCCAGGAAGGGCTGTTCTGGAGGTGGAAGGGTGGAGCCTGGCTGGCCTGGTACCCCTGACCACCGCCCGCCCACAGGTGGACCAGATGAGCCGCATTGTGGAGGTGCTGGGCATCCCACCGGCCCCCATGCTGGAGCAGGCACCCAAGGCTCGCAAATACTTTGAGCGGCTGCCTGGGGGTGGCTGGACTCTACGAAGGACAAAGGAACTCAGGAAGGTGCGGCTCCTGCCCCGCGCCACTCCTCCCACCCCGGTGGCCCCTCACTCTCTCACACTTGGGGCTCCCTCTCTCCCTCCTTGTTTTCCCTCCCAGTGTCTCCCCCTTTCTTCCTTTCCGCCTTGTTTACCCTTTCCTTCCTCCCCTGCCCACCCCGTCTCTCCTTCCTACCCCGCAACTCTAGCTTCTCTCTTTCCACTTTCTCTCTTGTGCCTCTGTTTCCCCGTGTGTGTCTCCCTGCCCCTCCTGCCCACTGACGGCCACTCTCTTGCCCCCCCTCCCACCCCCTCCCTGCCAGGATTACCAGGGCCCCGGGACACGGCGGCTGCAGGAGGTGCTGGGCGTGCAGACGGGCGGGCCCGGGGGCCGGCGGGCGGGGGAGCCGGGCCACAGCCCCGCCGACTACCTCCGCTTCCAGGACCTGGTGCTGCGCATGCTGGAGTATGAGCCCGCCGCCCGCATCAGCCCGTTGGGGGCTCTGCAGCATGGTTTCTTCCGCCGTACGGCCGACGAGGCCACCAACACGGGCCCGGCAGGCAGCAGTGCCTCCACCTCGCCCGCACCTCTCGACACGTGCCCCTCCTCTAGCACCGCCAGCTCCATCTCCAGCTCTGGTGGGTGCCCAGAAGGGAACAGCAGGGTGGGGTCAGCTCTGGTTTGCCCTGGCCTGGGTGACCCTGTCAGTGGGCCTTTGAAACAGCCTGATTTTTCCAAAATAAGGTGGGGTAAGCAAGTTCCATGTGGCCCTGACATGACTCCTGAAGCTGGGCTTGGGCTCACATCCCTAAAACTGTTTTGACTCTTAACGCCCAAAACAAAAATCTGACCCCAAATCGCAAAACTGGATCCTTCAGATGAGTTCTGGCGGATGAGTACAAATCTGGGCCTAGGCCTCGAAACAGACTTAGCAACCCCCAAACCGGCTACCTCTCTCCTCACCTGTGGCCTCTCCTCCCTGGCACTTCCAGGAGGCTCCAGTGGCTCCTCCAGTGACAACCGGACCTATCGCTACAGCAACAGATACTGTGGGGGCCCTGGGCCCCCCATCACTGACTGTGAGATGAACAGCCCCCAGGTACTAGGGCTTTGAGGGCTTTGAAGGTGGGTGATGGGACGCCGAGACTTTCAGACCCAGGTCTGTCTCACCAACTGCTGCTTTGGTTTTTTTAGGTCCCACCCTCCCAGCCGCTGCGCCCTTGGGCGGGGGGTGATGTGCCCCACAAGACACATCAAGCCCCTACCTCTGCCTCGTCACTGCCGGGGACAGGGGCCCAGTTACCCCCTCAACCCCGATGCCTTGGCCGTCCCCCATCACCAACTTCGCCACCACCCCCGGAGCTGATGGATGTGAGCCTGGTGGGCGGCCCTCCAGACTGCTCCCCACCTCACCCAGCGCCTGCCCCCCAGCACCCGGCTGCCTCAGCCCTCCGGACTCGGATGACAGGAGGTCGTCCACCTCTCCCACCCCCTGATGACCCTGCCACTCTGGGGCCTCGCCTAGGCCTTCGTGGTGTACCCCAGAGTACAGCAGCCAGCTCATGACCCTGCCCTCTCCCTGGGGCCCCTCCTGAAGCCATACCCTCCCCCCATCTGGGGGCCCTGGGCTCCCATCCTCATCTCTCCCCTTGACTGGAATTGCTGCTACCCAGCTGGGGTGGGTGAGGCCTGCACTGATTGGGGCCTGGGGCAGGGGGTCAAGGAGAGGGGGTTGGCCACACTCTCCCCACTGAGGACTGGACCCTTGACCCCCTATCCCCCCTTGTTTTCTATTTATTGTACCAAAGACAGTGGTGGTCCGGTGGAGGGGAGACCCCCCTCATCCCAGGGCCCTAGGAGGGGGTGGGGGCAGGTAGGGGGAGATGGCCTTGCTCCTCCTTGCTGTACCCCCCAGTAAAGAGCTTTCTCACATGCCTGCCTGAGCGTTTGCAGGGCCTTGGTTCCCCTCATCTGGCCCTTAGAGGCATGGTGGGGAAGGGAGGTGGGGGGTGCCAGAAGAGCTTTGTGGTGTGGATACATCTCTTCTGGAGACATTAGGGATGTTGGTTCAGTCTTGGGGCTGCAGAAGTTCTGGGGCTGCTATGGAATCCTAGACAAATCTGGATAGGATCCTATCCCACATTTGCCTTTTCCAGGGCAAACTAAGGCCCTGAAAGGTAAAGGCCCCCTTCTCTTCTGTCTGGAAAATACCATGTTATGCTCTCATAAGCCACAGAATATACAGGCGGGTCTCCTTATGCTGGGCAGCCATCGGTACGTGCTGGGTGTACTTAGCAGGCCCTGTTAGTGCCACCTGAGGGACAGGCAGGCAATAGGTACAGACTTCACCCCGTCCATGTCTGGTTTCCCCCTTTGGAATCATTGCGAACAAAGCATTTTTGAGAGTCTCAGGCAAAAAGATATTCCCTGGGTTCCAGGTAAGTGGTCTTGTTCCCCGGCAATTTGGAAACGTCTGTCTCAACTGGCCAATCAGGAACTTCCTGGTTCACAAAGGGTACGTTCTCCTACTGCTGGGGCGTGGTGTTTCCTGGGAAATGGAGTTCTAGGACGTAGTTTCTTTATCCATTTTTCGTTGGGAAACTACGAAGACCAGAATTCTCCGCTCACGCGTGGGGGCGGGACTTGAGGCAGCCAATCAGCAGTCGGGGTTGTTCTGGCGCCTGGTAGAGGCAGGCAGTAGAGGTGAAGGAAGCCGTGATTGGGGCGTTTGGGCAGTTCTCTGCGTAGGTGTGTGGCTGGCGGGCATGCGGAAGGTGGGTCCCTCGTCACAGCGTGCAGGTGATGTGCTCGCGGTTCTGGAGCAGGAGGTAGGCGCTGAGGCCTAAAGCGGCCCTGTCACGAGAGCCATCACTGGTTATTGTGACTAGGCGGCTTGCGGGAAGCTCCTGTCGGAAGACAGGCCAGGACATCCTTGCGGACCTGTGCCTGTTCATCCTGGAACGCGGTGAGAACCGGAGGAGGCAGAGTAGGGGGCGCTTCCAGGGAGAGTAGGAGCTGAGCTAAGACCTGCAGACAGAAGGATGTGTTGGGGGTCAGTCCCCTGGAATGGCATGCGCAAAGGTAGTCCTGGAAAGAACCTGTTTTTTATATTTTGGTGGAGATCGTTTTGAAAGTTCTGAATGAATTAACTCATGRGACATTTTCTTGACCATCTAGAGAGCTGGCCTTTGTCCTGAGAACAAGAAGTCACTACAGGATTTTTAGAAGTCAGGGAGCATGCTTCAGTTTTGTTGCGATCTGGGAATAGATTGATAGCAAAGAGGCTGGGGTCTGGCAGTCTCTGTAACAGGTTCCTAGGCAAGAGAGATCCTGGATGGATCAGAGCAGGGGCTATGATAGGGAGGGAAGGATGGAGATTGGTAGGAGAGAAATCCAGAAGGTTGAGTTGGCAGGTTTGTGGAAGAGGTAGAGGGGCTGGGGAAGGGGTATCTCCAGCACGTGAAACAGATTGTAGATTCCCAATTAAATTTTTCCTTAATTTTTTTCCTCTCTCCAGTACTGGGAATTGAATGCTTTACCACTGAACTATACTCAGCTCACTCAGTAAAAATATTTAGAATTAACAGTATTTGGAGACAGGTGCTATTGTCATCTTCCCTTTGCAAATAAAGGTACAGAAAATAGAGGTAGTTAAGTAATTTGCCCAAGATCACAGAGCTAGGAAGTGAGTCAGGTTGTGTGTGAGTGTGTGTGTGTGTGAGAGAGAGAGAGAGAGAACCCTTGACTTTAAGGTGCCAGATGAACCTAGGGACATCAGAAGGGGCCAGATCATGTAGGTCCATGAAGAATTTGAGATAGGCACAGAAATGTATGTCTCACATTTCTGTTTCCAGCCCAGAACCACTCCCCTGAGCTCTTGACCAACTGTCTACCTCATACCTCCTTGTTTTTCTGGAGGTATCTCCAAAGTCATCTTTATCAAATTGAACTCCTGTGGTAGCACCTTGATGGTCTTCCTGCTCCTATTCAATCTGTTTTTCACATGTTCAAAGGGACTCTGAACATCTGCATTGGTCCTATCCCTCCCCTACTCAGAACCCTTCCATGGCTCCATCTCACCCATGGTAAATGCCAGAGTCCTCTCCATGGCCTGTAAGGCCCTGCACAGTCTGCCTTCATCATCTCTGTGACATGGTGGACTATCATCACTCACTCTGCTCCAGCCACACTGGCCTCAGGACCTTTGCACTTGCTGTTCCCTTTGCCTGGAAGACTCATGTCCCAGATTTCCCATACTCATTCCTTCACCTCCTTTAGTTTTTTACTCAGATAATACTTTCTTCTTGAGATCTTCCATGACCATCCTTCAAAAATTATACCACTGACATCCATTTTTCCTTATGTTAATCATATCACTGTTTATCACACTGTACAATTTATCTTGTTTATTGACACCCCTCCCCCCCATACCATCAGCTTCATGAGGGCAAGCCTTTGATTATCTCTTTCATGCTTTATCTCCAAACCCAAGAGGAGTGGCTGTGCACACAGCAGGACTCACTACTCAGAYTGAGCCATTTTCAGAGCGTAGATCTGGATCAGAGTATCGGGGCCATCCCTGCACAACTCAAAGGGTCCACCTTAAACTTTTCTGAGGGCTCAACACGTTTAGCAGACGTTTATCTTGCCTCTGCTTTAAGCTCAGTGTTGGGAACACAGCAGAGGACAAAGTAGTTTCCCCAAAGAACCCAGTCTCAGGGATGAGGGTTCAAATGGTAATCTCACAAATGTGGAATCACAAAGAAAGGGAGAGGATGCTGTGAGCCCCTGATAGGAAATCTGGTCTGGATCCTAGGAAGAGGTTTGAGGCTGTGCAGGAGTTTGACTAATTCCATGGACAGTGTGTGTGATGTTTGGACCTAGAGGCTATGTTTGGGTTGTTTTTGTTTTGGGGGATTGAACTCAGGGGCACATCCCCAGCCCTATTTTGTGTTTTATTTAGAGACAGAGTTGCTTAGTGCCTCACCATTGCTGAGGCTGGCTTTGAACTGTGATCCTCCTGCCTTAGCCTCCTAAGCTGCTGAGATTACAGGCGTGTGCCACCGTGCCCAGCATGTGCCACCGTACCCGGCATGCAACCACATATTCTTTGCTGTTTCTCCTGTGAAGTAGCAGAGTCTCCTTCCTCCCCTTGAATCTGGACTGGCTTATGATTTGTTTTAATCAATAGAATGTAGTGAAAAGTGGCACTTACCAAATGTGGGGCCTGAACCTTAAGAGGCCTGGTAACTTCTGCTTTCACTCTTAGAGCCCTGGTTGGAGGACTCCTGCAGCGCTGCCTGCCTTTTTTTTTTTTTTTTAATTCTGATTTGTTATATGTGACAGCAGAATGCATTACAATTCGCTTTACACATATAGAGCACATTTTTCCATATCTCTGCTTGTATCTTTATAGAGGTCCAGCAGCCTCTAGCTGCTCTGGCTATTTTAGCTGATGAGAGTGATGCTGCCTTGGATTTTTAACTGCTGCCAGCTGACCCCATCTGCATTAGAGACAAACCATCCTGAGTCCTCTCACCCTCTGACCCTTGCCTAAATTGCAGAATTATGAGCAAATAAATGGTTGGTATTTTATGACTGTGTTTTAGGATGATTTGTTACACAGCAGTAGCTAACTAAAACAAACTAATATTTTTCAAGATCTCACTATTATGACTGAATCCTTATAGTCACCTTAAGTGGTGCTAATTATTATTCCCATTGTACAGATGAAATAGTGAAGACRTAGAAAAGTTAATAAAGCAGTAACATAGAATCTCTCCCACAGTAAGCCCTGCATATGTGATAGCTAATATCAGCATCATATTCATCAGCACTAAAATTGTCACAGTTATTAAAAATAAATGATATTCAAGCCAGGCATGGTGGCACATGCCTGTAATCCCAGGGACTCGGGAGGCTGAGACAGGAGGATCTCAAATTTGAGACCAGACTCAGCAACTTAGTGAGACTCTAGGCAACTTAACAAGACCCTGACTCAAAATCTCAAACAGAGGACTGGGGATGTGGTAAAACACCCCTGGATTAAATACTCAGTACTCCTCTCCCCAAAATAAAAGTGGTATTCAGTTAGATAGAGACAAGCTTGTTGGGCTGGGGGTCTTGTTTTGTGTTTTGAAGGACTGGTAGAGRGGCAGAATGTACTTGGCGATCTCCTCCGAGTTCCAGATCCGACCTCAGTTGGCGTGCCGCTCCTCCTGGTCTTCTCCTTAGGGATGCAGTAGATGGTTAATCATCCAGCCTCTTTGAAGTGGAGCCCACCTGTCCTGCCTGACCCCCAGGGCCACGCTCCCATGTTCACGCCCCAGCTCTCGRGCGCATGCGCTGTTCTGCGCGTTGGTGTTGGTGGCAAGCCTGCCTCCTCTGAGCCTGTACCCTGTTGGCAAGATGAGTGGTGAGTAAATCCTGCTGCTAAGAGCTGTGGAAGCCGAGGATTGGAGGGAGAGGGACAAGGGGGGTTATAGGTGGCCGTGTTGAAGGTGTCTGTGAGTAAAATGTGAGTGCAGGTCCTGACCAAGGAGGAAAAGGGACAGTCCAGGTCAAAGGCCCCAAGGCACGGGTGTGGTGGTGGTTGTGGTTGTTGTTGAAGCAGAAGGAGCAAGGTGGGTGGAGGTCATCCAGGCCCTGATGGCCGCAGTAAGGACGTCACCTYGGTGCTGAATGGCCATCGGAGCCCTTTCAGCTAAAACGATAGGATCTAAAGTTCTGCAGGGATTCCTGAGGTCTGGAGCCTAGTCCTGTGGGCACCAGACTCCACAGGGAAGGCYACTGGATCCAGCCCAGAGATGCTGGGGACTTGGCAAGGGTGAGAGCAGAAGAGGTGGTCAGATTTTTTTGAAGGGAAAATCAACAAGATGTGGGGTGTGGGTGTAGGGCTAAAAAGGGGGAGTCGGAGCAGCCTGCGCAGAGGAAGGAGGCGAGCCGTGAGCTGTCTGAGGAAGACAGATGGACTGGCGCGCAGGCAGGGGGCGTGAGGCTGGCCTTCAGGGGTGAGGTCGGGGCAGGGGTGTAAATTTGGGGATGCTGGCATATTGGTGGCCCGAAAGCCCAGGCCAGGATCACTAAGGGAGGGAGCATGGATGGAAATGAGGTGTGAGAGCTGGGAGGCTCCGGGGGGTCGGGGGGGCTGCAGCATCTCAGTGAGAGGGGGCAGTGGTGTGGACAGGCCCAGGCCAATCAAGTCATCGTCAGAGGCCGGTGTGTTTTGAACATTGGGCGCACAGTGGGTGGGTCATGGACGTGGGTGGGTCATGGACGACGATAGACAGACAGATAGACAGACACAAACAAGGCCCTCGAGACCAGAGTGGATGCATTTCCTTGCTCTGCTCCTTCCTTGCTCCTTCCTCCATTTGCAGGCGGCTCCGCTGGCCTGGGGGAGCTTTTGCCCTGGCTGTGTGCACCCTTCCTTCTCAGTGCCCTTCAGTTCCCTCTTCTGTCCCCAAACAGAACTGGACTGCTGGCTGCTGGGGGTCAGGGTGTTCATCCTATCCTACCCCATGGTTGGAGGGCTGCTGCAGCGCTGTCTGACTTAGAGGGCTTTGGGCTGCGCAGGCCACCCAAATGTTTGGTTACAGTGTGTTTCTGACAGATGTCGTTTTGATGGACACCTGAGTGTATGTGGCAGAGGGGGCGTGGTTTGACTCTGTTTTGGTAGGTGGGCAGGAAGGGCCGTTTGTGTGGCCTCAGGTGTCTGGATTAGGTAAATGGAGGGGATACTGGAAAGGTGGGCTCTGGCAGGCTCTGGCTGAGAAGGGTTAAGTGTCAGGTTGGAAGAATCCAGGCATAGCCTCTGCCTATTTGTGAGGTTCCCAATGTAGCCAAGGAGACACGCCTTACTCTGAACTTGAGCAAGACACAGCGATGACTGAGCCAGCCTCTGCCCTCACCGAGCACAGTCCAGTGGGAGAAATGACCCCACCAGCTGATGGTCATGGCCAGGATGGGCGTGCATCTGACCAGAGGCAGCACATGACCCAGCCTGAGGTCAAGAAGGACTTCCTGGAACAGGGTGCACACGAGGTGGGGTCAGCAGGACTCAGAGGGTAGTTAGGACTCTGCTCATCACTACTAACTTGTACTCGTAGCCAAGTTAGTAGACTTAAAACTTTTTGAACTTTTTTTTAAATTTAATAACTTTAGATTTGTACAGAAGTTGCAGAACCAATGCAGAGACTTCCCATGCAGCTTCTCCAAATGTTAGCAGCTCACATAATCTTGGAACCATTTGTCAAAGCTAAAAAGTCGACTTTGATCGGTGTTCTCTTAYACTCCAGACTTTATCCACGTGTCCCCCGCTTTTCCACTAATATTCTTTTTCTGTTCCAGGATCCAATCAGGATGCCAGGTTGTATTTGTTCATCGTGTCTCCTGGGTCTCCTCCAGTCTGTGACAGTGTCTCAGACTTCCCTTGTTTTTCATGACCTTGACAGTTTTGAGGAATACTGGTCTGGGTTTGTGTGGTATATTTCTCAGGTTGGGATTATAGGCTTTGGAATGAATCCTCACCAGGGTGACATTAACCTTGATCCTTTCATTAAGATGGCATCTGTAGGTTTTTCATTTGTAGTGTTATTATTTTCTTTTTTGCTTCCTCTGTTGGTTAGAAGTAAGTCACTAAATCTAGGCCTCACTCAAAGCAAGGAATATTAAGCCCCCTATCCTGGAGAGAAAAATACCTAAAGAATTTGTCTTCATATGTTGAAACCACTATGACATATTAGTCTGTTTTTCTCTGCTGTAACAAAATATCTGAGGCTGGATAATGTATGAAGAAAACAGGTTTGTTTAGTTCAAGTTTTGGAGACTGAAAGTTCAAGTTTGTGTGGCCCCATTTGTTCAGCCTCTAGGAAGGTCCTCATGGTAAATGACATCATGGCAAGAGCCTATTTGAGAGAAATCGCATGGTGAGACAAGAAGCTAGAGAGTGGGGAGGGGCCAGTCTTGTTTTTTTTTTTTTTTTTTTTTGCAGGGGGGTGTACAGGGATTGAACTTGGGGTCCCTCCACCCCTGAGCCACATCCCCAGCCCTATTTTGTATTTTATTTAGGGACAGGGTCTCACTGAGTGGCTTAGCATCTCACTTTTGCTGAGGCTGGCTTTGAACTCGCCATCCTCCAGTCTCAGCACCCAAGCCACTGGGATTACAGGCAGGCACCACCAAGCCCAGCTCAGTCCCATGGGAACTAACTAGGGTCCCATGGGAACTGCATTAGTCCCTTTGAGGGTRTCACCCCAGGGACCTAAGCAGCTCCCACTAGGCTCCACCTCGCCAGTGTTCCCCTGCCTCATGCGTCTCCACGTCACCAAGCTTCCAGCACGTGAACCTTTGAGAGGAACCTTCGAACCTTGTCAGACCACAGCACAGAGTAACAATAAGTCCAGGGAAGATGCTTTCCTTCCCCTCTGGCCTCTCGTGGTGGAGCTTGCCAGCAGCCGGTATTATGGTGGCATCTTAACGACAGTCTCCGATTTCCCTCTTTCTTTTCCAGTGATCATTCAGAATCCTGTGTGGAAGACCTGCCCTTCTCTGTTTTACTTATAGTGTGGACTCACGGGTATTTWCTTTATTCCTTGGATAAACCCAGCACTGTTACAGTTGCTTTTTTTGATTCGAGTTGTTCTAACTTTGGTCACCGGGGCCCTCTCAGGCTGGCTTCTGTGTTCTTTCTCCTCCTCCTTCCCCCCTTGAGCACCTACTTTCTGGCCCTCCAAGGTGTCCCAGGCTCATGCTGGATTTCCCTGTCCCAGCCCTAGACTCAGCTCCCTGCCCGGGGGGCGCTGGTTCCGTTTTCTGGAGAATGACGTCAGGAGCTGAGGTCTAGGTGGGGTCTGCTTGTTGCCCCTGGGGTGTCGCCTTCGTCCTGCTCCAGTCCAGCCGTAGGCTCCACCCCACCCCTCCCCGCTTTCTCTGTAACTTCCCCCTGACACGAGAAACCTGGCCC